AAAATATATGCTTGTATCATTTATCAGAAAATTACTTAATTCTTAATGGTTTTGCTAGATGGGCCAAATGGCCTTCTGTCGTTTGCAAACTTTCTTTTGTTCTTGTATACTTTTTATATTATTTTTTTTGTGTAGGACTACGTAAAAGCTTTAGCATATGCAAAAGACAAGGAATTGGTGGCATCTGCAGGACTGGATAGACAGATTTTCCTTTGGGATGTAAATACATTAACAGCACTGACTGCCTCAAACAACACAGTTACAAGTAAGTATGCCATAAGAAACGTACTGTATGTTCTGCAAACTTTAGTATGTTATAGAAAAGTGTGGCAGTAGTTGATAAGAAACACCTACTTCAGTTTTTAAACCTTTTGAATACTTAGCACAGTATCTGATTCTAATTCTGATTTGTTTAAGTTACATGAAATTAAAATTCAGTTACAGATAAGTGAGATATTGTTATTTTCACACATGGAAGAACAATATACCCTAGCTTTTACAGCAGTGCAAAGGTTGCATGATCTCCTTTGCAAAATCACAGACTATAGATATGGGTTAATTTTATCTCCATTTTAAAATCCTTTTCATAATGTGGTATTATGTATTTTTACCTAGTGGTTGGTGGTAAGTGCTGCTGTCTTATACAGTAGCTCTTAGATCCATTCTGAGGAACCTTCTGTGTACAGTTTGCATGTTCCTTTCATGTCTGTGTGGGTATTCTTCAGGTGCTAGGTTACATTGTTCCTATACTGGAACAGGTAACGGGTTTATTCCAAGTTAAAAAGAAATTAAACAGAACGTTTCGGCTGTGGAGCTTTCTTCAGGTGTGAGAAAGACGGGGTAGACTGCAAAAATTAAATAGCATAGGATAACAAAATCTGGAAAAGTGGAGGAGAGGGGAGAGGCCACTCAGGAAGTGCAAAGTGGAGAAAGGTGTGAAGTCAAAACCTGCATGAGAATAGAGAAGATTACTCGAAAATAAGTCGGTCATTGAGCGAAGGGGGAAGGTGTGAACCTAGTTTCAGGATGAGTTGCGTTTCTGTTGTTTTCCTGCTATGGGAGTTGAGAAACCCTTCTTTAAGAACAGAGACAGAGAGGTCAGTGTGATCATGGCCATCTGAGGTGAAATGAGAAACTATGGGCTTGGAGAAATCTTTAATTTTCACAGCCCTAACATGTTCTCTGAAGTGGTCTCCTAGTCTCTATTGTCCCTCCTTGTCCCTGTATTGTACTGTATGTGTGTGTATCCTGTGATGGACAGGTGTCCCATCTAGTGTCTGGTCTCGCCTTATACCCTACACTGTGATAGGCTCCACATTGCCATACCTCTCAGCAGGAATAGGTGGCTTTGTTTTACATTGTTTTAAAATGAATCAGTGGATACTGCAGATTTCTTTGGAATATATTGATTGGAAAAACTCAGAAGGCATATTAACAGTATCATTCGATCCC